GTTCGGGCAGGCACTAATTCCAGCAGGTTGCTCAGAGATAAATAATTTGGTTTATTTTCTCAGTAACTGCTATTTTCCTAAAAGCATCTTGCTGCCTGCTCATAGGCTTCCAGGGGGGCTGAGCACATGGGCTGTGTTCAATTCACCCCAACCCCAGTTAAACCAGTGATCACCTCACCCAACACCAGAGCACAGATAAACCAAAACAGCCCAGTTCACTCAGGATGAGACACCAGCACTGTGTACTCTGCTTTCTTCCTTACATTCACGTACCCTGGAGCTGCCTACACCTGATGGTGCTTATTTGTACCCACATGTGGGCTCCAGTCCATGCTCTACATGACTTGGAAGCCACCACCGGGCACCTGGTTGCAATTACAGTGGCCTCTCCCTCGGCATGGGCATTTTCTTGTCTATTGGGGAATATGGCATGAGATTATGCTGTGTATGGAGATCACGTCAAGATTGAAACTAGAGCAGAAACCAGCAGAGTTGGCAGCCCCAGATGCTGCTCAAGAGCCATGTGTGGTGCTGGGTGGCTTCATGGGGAGGCAGGACACTGTGAGGGGACACGCACAGCCAGGAAGGGAGGCCACCACAGTGCACCCTGCGGCAAGAAGCATCAAGGCCCCAAATATCCTCAAGCATGGGACAAGGCAGAGGTTTGCAGGCGGTGCTCTCTGCACTGCAGCTCATTTCACCAGGAAGGACAACTGTGTCCTGCAAGGACAGCACATCTTCTCACATGAAGCCACCAGGCCCCCATTGAGCACCAAAGAAGCCTTAGGGGCAAGCTCTTAAATGCCCAGGGAGATGCAGGATGGCACCATGGAACAGACCAAGCTCCTCTTGGAGACCCCAAGCACAAACACTGGAAATTTCAGGATGCACCAGCACCCACAGACGCTCCCTGGGCACTGCTGTGCACCACCAGGCTGCCCTGTCCCCAAACTCCACACTGCCCCTACAACCCCCACAAGCAGCACAAGGGATGCCCAACCTCCCTGGCAGCAGCCCCCCCTTACCAGCCAGCTCCTGCTCCCAGAGCCAGGACAGCCCTCTGCATCCTCCACAGCTGGGGCAGCTCCTACAGGAAAGGTGCAGCCCCCCCACCCTCCCAGCATTTATAGCCCACAGGTGCCCCCCAGCCCCGGCAGCACGAGCCCCACCTGGGAGCTGTGGTGTGGGACTGGTGGGGAGGGATGGGGCCTTTTCAGGGAAAAGCGTGGCTTTCCCTGTTACACGTTATAAAACATTCCAAGTGCCTGTCAGGATGAAAAGTGTAATTGTGAATTAGCCCTGCTGCTCTCCTGCATCTCCAGACCTACACAAAGGCAGAGAAGTTTTAATTTCTTTCTTTTAGAGCTACCTTATTTTTTTGTTCCCCTCCTATTTTTTGTTCTTTCCCTTCTGTCCTCCTAAATTTGATATGAAAGAAAAAGAAGTAAATAAACATTTTGGAAAGCTCTTCCTGGCTTATGCAGCAGTTGGGATGGAGGGGGAGGCCCAGAGCACAGGAACCACAATGCTTTGGATTGCTGGATTTTCAAAACAAAAATGAGGTTAGAAATGGAAACTTTGTTTAACTGAGACCAGGATGAAAACTACATTTCACACTTGGCAGCAAAGCTGCATGTCCATCACCCTCCTGTTCTGGCACTTCCCCCATTTAACCGGGTGTCCCAAAGGCAATTCCACAGCTCTGGCAGCACGAGGGATCTTGCCATCTTCCTCTGAGCAAGCAGACGTGCCCAAGCCACTGCCCAAATGCTCTTGGGACCTCACTTAGAAACACCTCCCCAAGGCAGTGCCAGCAGCGTGCTGGGGAGCGGATAGACATTGGGTCCTCGCCTGAGTTTTCAAGGATGTTCTTTCAGCACCTACTGTCCTGGGGCAAAATATCACCTTCCAGGTTTCTGGATTTTTAGCAATCTGAGATTCCCACAAAGGATAAAAGCCATAAAAGCAGCCATGTGGGACTATGTCCCCTCCCCAGCCCGCCCCAGCGGTGCGCGATAGCAGACACACAGACGACATCAGCACAGCTCGGCATCATCTTTTTATAATTTTATTTCCAGAGGTCTTGTGCAGAAACATACAGCACGACGCCTGGCCCTGAGCCTCGGAGGGAGTTTTCTGGGGGCATTTCTGAACAATTCCTGTCTGCACAGCACCTCCTGCGCAGGGACCGCAGCGCACCGGGGTGAGCAGTCAGAGCCCCACTGCCCGGTGGTCCCCGGCAGTGCTGCTTCCCGGGCAGCATCGTGGGGTCCCCACCAGGTGAGACACCCCCTCAACCCCTCTCTGTCCCTGCCTGAGCCCAGCAGCAGCAGCCCCAAAGTCAGGGTCCACAGGCTGATACCGATGATTACAAAAGACATTGCAAAGGAACTTAGATTTTCCTAAGTGCCCACTGCCTATTACCAGGGAAAGAGCTTAAAAATAAGCTCCACCAAAGCACCTACAATAAAGGGGCAAAGTTTCTTGAGTAGTCCTCTGCTCCTGGTGATGCAGCACAAGAGCCTCTGCCAAGGTGCGAGCTGACACCTTCAGAAAAACAGCTGATTTTTTTTAAATCTCTCCTCCCCTCTGCCCCTGCCTGAGCCCAGCAGCAGCAGCCCCAAAGTCAGGGTCCACAAGCTGATACCAATGATTACAAAAGACACTGCAAAGGAGGTTTGAGCTTAGATTTTCCTAAGCGCCCACTGCCTATTACCAGGGAAAGAGCCCCAAAATAAGCTCCACCAAAGCACCTACAATAAAGGGGCAAAGTTTCTTGAGTAGTCCTCTGCTCCTGGTGATGCAGCACAAGAGCCTCTGCCAAGGTGCGAGCTGACACCTTCAGAAAATCAGCTGATTTTTCTTAAATCTCCTTTTTTAATTAGAGGATGAGGCAGTGATGACAAAGGCGGTTTCCCCTCTGGATAGACAGGAGAAACACATGTTGCACTAGCACGTGATGGGATCCACATCCAGGCAGTGAAGGGAACCCACCCAACCCTGGGGAATGAAACGAACATCACAGTGGAGAACTGCTTGGTGAGCACACTGAATTTCAAGCACTCACTGCTCCAGCGATGACCACCCTTCCCACACCCCAGCCCTTCCCTTCCACACAGACTTGCTCCTCCAGCAGAAACCCCCACGACGCTGGTGGACCCACACCCCAGGACAGCACGAGTGGGATGTGGGCACTGCATCCCTTGTGCCGCAGGTGACCAGGGAGCACCTGGATGCAGATCCTGGCAGAGCCCCTGGTTGCAGATCCTGGCAGAGCCCCATGTCCAGCGGCCACCCTGCACCGTTGGTTTGGTTGGACGCGCATCACGCTGCTGGGGCTCTTGAAAGCAACAGAAACGACCCAAAACGCTGCTGTGGTGGACATAAACCCATGCTTGTGCTGGGAGACTTCATCCCGGGCACCTTCCCCCTTCCAACCCAAAGCCGCTTTTATTGTCTTGATCTAATGAAGTGCAGACTTCACCTGGACAGACCCATAAGTGGCTCCTCTCGGAGGCAATGAATACAAATACTTGACCTCATGAGCTGCGGGGCAGCAATTAGTTTAAGCAGGGGGTTTGTGTAACACTTCAAAAGTCTTAATCCGTGCGGTCAGCCCTGGCACGGTATTTGCCAGAACCTATTGAGTAGTCTTAATGAGTCTGCAAAGCAAGCTTTCAATACATTTTGGGTCGCTTCAGATGCTTTAAATGGCATAGTCTATATGGTATTGTGCGGCTTTAGAAAGGCCCGGGCTTTAAAAAAGTATGGCTCCCTTTCACAGGGCAGACAGAAACCATCTTTAGAGCCGGGACCCTTAACGTTTTGCATATCAATATGGCTGGGGCTGAATGCAGTCACTCAGCTGAGAAATAGGATCACTATCAGCGTTTCCAGGCTTTCACAGGCACTTGGGAAACTTTAAAGCCCTTCGTGGAGAATAATTTGGTCGAAATGTCGTGGCTGGAAACAAAACCTAAACAAGCAGAGCGCAGTCCATCATGCGGAGCTGCCAGCCAGGCTGACAACAGGCTCCAGCCGCTCCGACATCCCACCCCAGCGGGTCGGTGGCCGGGGCACTTGCAGTCCCAGGGGGGACCCCGCGCTGGGCATGGGGTGCTGAGTCCCCCCCAGCAACGGCTGCATCGCTTGGAGGCCTCTGGGATTTTAACCAGCGGAAAACTAGGCCCGATTTCATCTCTTCTTACTATTCTTTTAGGATATCCCAGTTTAACACCAGCCATAAAGCCCCCAGGCTCTGGCACTACAGTGGTGGCATCTGCGTCCATCCCTGGCACCACTCACACATGGACACCGACGATGCCCGCTCCCCGCGCAGAGACGGGCAACTGTGTGCATTGAACTCCCACAGCACGTTAAACCCATCCCCTCACATGTCACTTGTCCCCTCAGTGACCAGACACACCCTGGGGCTGAACGGGGCAAACATTCTGAACCTCAGCTACAGCCCAGAGCTTCGGTACAGAAAATGTGCCACCTCCAAGGGGCACAAAGGAGGTATCAGTGGCCGGGACACAGGAGCGGGGAAAGCTGTGTGGGGCAAAGCACAATATGCTGGTATAAAATCACCCCAGAGCGGGGAAGAAAGGGGCCAGTGCTTGTTGTGCATCCCAGCAGAAGTTCTACCTGCCACCTCCATCACCCCCCTGCAGCAGCAGCGAGGAGGGGAGGTGATGGCAGGCCTGGCAGGACGCGCCTGGTGGGACAGTCAGCTTTGGGATGCAGCAGGATGGAAGAAACCGCAGCCAAAGCATATTTGCAAACAATGCAGAGCCTGAGGGCCCTTGAAAACACATAATTAGCTCATTAAAGAGACAAATACAAGTCACTAATAAGATATTAGAGGTTAATTAAATGTTTTCCCCATCTTTAATTAAGGGAAAACTAGTTAATTCAGATTAAACTAATTTCTGCAGCCTCCCATGATGGCCCTCTATGGCTGCAGATTTGAAAAATCTATTGAGATTATTGAACTGAAAGGTCAGAGTTTGGGGCTTTTGTTTGCTTGGCTTGGGTGAGTTCAGGGGGAGCGGGGATTTTCATCCTAAAGGGCTAGAAATGCCCCGCTCCATCAGCTGGGTTACTCAAAGAACATAAAAAGGTATGCGGTACGCAACTCCCTCTCCCTAACCCTGGACCTGGCATTTATTCAAAACTACCGCCGTTAATTGTTCTTCTTAACTAGGAAATTCCTGCAGAGTATTTTCTATCTGCAAAACTCACCCCACGCTTGGGGTCTGCCGCTCGCCCGGCCTCATCCGCCGCCCGACGGCAGCCGCTGCCTGTGCTCAGCACCAGAATTTGCTTTAGCAAACACCCCCTGGCTGCACGTCCCAGTGGCCAACTGGGTTCCAAAGCTTTTCTTGTGAACGGCAGAGCTGTCACCCCCATGCACACACACCCCCACACACACACACCCCCCTACACACACTCCCACTCGCCACCAGGAACGGTCACAGTTAATATAGATTAGCAAAATTTATATGGAAGAATATTTAATCTGGTCGGGGAGGGGAGAGGGGTCATCTGTGGTTTTATTTCTTAAATATTTCTCTCTACTCCAGAAGGGTCCGTTTCTCGCTGGAAAAGGTCTAATATAAATTAGAACAAAGGGAGGAGGTTGCTGGTGGGGTGGCCACGGGCATCTCTGGACCACAGCAGCCACGGGCATCCCTGGACCACCGTCCTGGCCCCACACGCTACTGGGCAGACCAGGTCCCAGCACGACGGTGTGCCCCGTGGATGGCTCAGTCCCACCCGAAATCCTGCCCTGTCATCTGATAAAACTTCATGTTGAAGGGTCTGTAAAACTCCCGCAGGCGCTGGACCACCTGCATGTCGATTTTGGGGTGCGGCCGCCCCTTGGATTTCCCCAGGCAGCGGGGCTTGCTGCCTCCCTCCGGCTTCTTCAGGCAGGGAAAGCCCTTGGTCTCATTAAAATAGAAATGTTTGTCCGTCACCACCCTCTTGAGACCCAGAAAGTCCTGGACACGGCCCATTTCCCCAGCCGGGTCGCTGACGAGCCTCTCCCCGCTGACGAAGAGGAATTTGGAGAGGGGGAAGTACTGCAGCCAGTTGTCCAGGTGCTTGGCGTAGATCCCGATCCTTACGGCGCTCCAGCTCGTGTCGATCAGTCCCGTGCTGATGTTTTTGAAGGCCAGGGCCTGGAAGCTGGGGATGGTGGGGTTTTTGGAGAGCGTCTGCGTGTAGTCCGAGATGGCACGGGTGACGGGGTTGCGCACCACCACGATCAGCTTTGTGTCCCGAGACATGTTGTAGATGCGCCGAGGAGCCTCCTTGGTGACGAAGTAGCTGGGGGTCTTCTCCATCGTGATCTGCCCCTCCAGCGTCCGCGGCATCAGGCTCCTGGGGAGAGAAAGGGCCACAGTCAGGCTCAAGGCATGGCTGCTCCGACCTGATGCCACAATGGGGACGAGGGGGAGCAAACCCCACAACCCAGCCAGAAATGCCCAGAGACTGCCTTGTCACACCCCACCGGTCACCTCCTCATCTTCAAAAGCCCTCCTAGGAGCCCCCCTGCCCATGTCTCTCCTTTTTGCTCACCTCTTCTCAGCCTTCGTCCCCCCCAGAGTCTGTCCCCTGAGAAGGGCTCCCTGTCACTGCCCCACCAACAGCACCTTCCAGAGAGCACTTGCAGGCTGTAAAACCACATGGCTGCCTTCGTAGCCCTGGAAATCCTTCCTACACCCCTCCTCATCCTCCCTCCAGGGAATTTCAGTGGTGGCGTCTCAACGTGCTTGTTTTGGGACAGGGCTGGTTTTCATCCCAGCCTCTAGACCCATTACATGTCCTGGATGCGTCCACTGGCCACACAGGGCTGGGAAGAGGAAAGAGGTCAATCTCATCATGGGGTTGTGCGCCCACTGGGGCTGAGCCCAAGCAGTGGCTGGGGATGGAGATGCCCACCAAGGCTCCCACCTCCTCTGCCTCCAGACAGCAAACAGTTAAAGCCAGAAAAAGACAGTTTCCTTTTTTTTTTTTAAAAAAAAAAAAAAAAAAAAAAAAGGGCAGAAAACCTCTCAGGGCCCAGCCATTGTGCTGTGTAAAATTCACTGCTCTGATTGTTCCCTTGTGCACTTTAATGAGGCATTAATTGCCGGAGAAATTACCCAGGCATGTCACCCTATGAGGAGAGCCAAGGGCTGCAGAATGGGTCCCCCCTGCCACCAGCACAGGCACCTGCCCCAGAACCCCTCATGTCCCCCAGAGCCCTTCAAGTGCCCCTTCTTCTTGGGGGTGGACACGTTCCCTCAAGCCATCCTGGTCACGAGGAGACTTGGTTTCCCCAACGATGGAATCCCCTGAGCTGAGACTGTGGGGCTGGCCGGGAGGCAGCTCACAGGTCCCTGTGGGCACAGCACCAGCGTGGCTCCCTGCCATGCAATGCTGCTCCCCACGGTTTCCCTTGGTGGCAGGCAGTGCAGATGTGCCAGGAGACCATCAGCTTTTGCTGCTGCATCCCAGCCACATCCCACCAGCTTACTCCCACGGCACCCCGCACAGGAGCCCTCACCGATGGACCCCATGTGGATGCAGCGGGTGGAGATCGCTCTTCATGGGACTCATCTGGGATTGAAAAAGCTTCATTTCCTCCGTGCTGTCCCAAGCTGTGGTCCCCATTCCCTCCATCATGCTCAGGGTGACATGCACGCTCCCCCTCCCCAGCCACATAAATCAGAAGAGTCTCTTGCTAAAAGCCCTGGGCTGGAAGCTGATCCTGGGAGCACAGCACTGCTCAGCCCTGTTGCCCACTCCACCTCCTTGCACTGGGTCTGTCCCAAGCAGGAGGCTGCTTTCCCGCAGGGAGGGGACTCAAGGCTTCCAGAAGTTTGCTTAATACTTTGGGAAATGACCAAACCACTTCCATAGCTCTCCTGAAAGAAAAGCTACATGCCTGTGTGCGCACAGAAATACATGGGCACAACAAGCATTTCCTTCGCTCCCACCTAGGACTTCCCTTAGCAGCTGGCAGAGCACTTAACCCAGCAGGCAAGCGCTGGTTTACAAGGGGAAACTGAGGCACCAAGCAATGACATGTGTAGCAGCTGCTCTGTGGATGCCTACATCCAGGCAGCTGACAAACATCCACCATCCCGAC